GGTATTCCCAGGTGACACACAGGGAATTTAGAGCAGGACTTCCTCTGCCCTAAGGGGATCCTGGGCATCCTCAGAGCCATCTCTGACCCCGTGGGACCTGTTCAGGTCCAGGAAGTATTTTTGAAGCAACACATGCTCCATGCAAGAAAACCTTGGTGTGTGTTTGAGTGATTAGAGGAGAGCTGGATGGACAAAACCACGGGATCAGGATGGAAAGGAATTGCAGCTGGATCACTGATCCCACAACAAACCCCACAGGTGGGTCAGTTAAAGCCTGGGAGGGATGGGAGCTGCTGGTTCCTCCAGACACCACGTGAAGGTAGAAGCACCGACCCATGAAGTGTTATTGATGAATTAAATTCCCCCCAGGACACCGAATCCTGCAGGGTTTGGGTTGTGCTGTGCAGATTCACAGTTCCATTTCTCTGAGAGGAGCCCTGGGACGACCGAGCCCGGGTCTGTAACGTCAGAAGTGAAAGGAAGGGAAAGAGAGAGCTCAGCTCCATCCCCACCCCTGTCAACAAACACCCCCTTCAACAGAGCCCAGCTTTGTTTAAATTAATCTATAAGGGAAAAAAAAGGGAAGGGAGTAAAAGCTCCTCTTTTAGCTCTAATTAGTGCATTTGAGACGCCAAAGTTCCCGGAGGGCCCCGTTTCAAAGGCAGTTTGCATTTCCATCGTTTAGTGCTCCATTTAAACCAAACAATCGAGGCACTGCAAGGTGAGGGTGAAAGCCCAGGCAGGCAGAGTCCTTACACTCGGGATGTCCTGGGAGAGATGGGTCGTTGGGAAAGGAGATAATGATGGAAACAGGTCACAAAACGAGCCAGAGGATCGGAATTTCCCCCCCTGCCTCGAGGGCTGGGAGCACCGAGCTCAGGGAGAGCTGGAGCTGGTGGGTGATGAACAAAGACCCCCCCAAAAAAGGCCTAAAGTCCGAGTGGGGAGAGGGCAGAGCTCCTGGAATGCCACAAAGATGAGGGACATGCAAGTGCCAACCCGGTGATTTCACGGGGGGTTCCTCCAGAAATTCAATTGGATTCGTGAAGATTGTCCTTCAGATTACTTTCCATAATGGCACGGAGTGATGGGACAAGGGGGAATGGACTTAAGCTGAAGGAGGGTAGGGTTAGATGGGATATTGGGAGGGAATTCTCCCCTGTGAGGGTGGGGAGGCCCTGGCCCAGGTTGGGCAGAGAAGCTGTGGCTGCTCCTGGATCCCTGGAAGTGTCCAAGGCCAGGCTGGAGCAACCTGGGCTAGTGGAAGGTGTGGGTGGGGAACTGGATGACCTTTAAGGTCCTTTCCAATCCAAACCATTCCATGATTCCATGACTACGAAATGAGATCCCTTTAGGGGAGATCAAGCAAGTCAAGCTGGGGTTTGGTGGCTTCTTAACACCATCACCGAGCATGGAGCTGCTTCTCCTGCTGTCCCACTGCCTCCCCAGCCACTGCCATGGATCCCAGCTCACTGCCTGCCTCCAATTCCCTGGCTCTTCCAGCTCTTTCATGTCCAAGGGCTCAGATTTTTGCTGGTTCTTTATTTTACCATTTTACCAATAGCCCTGAAAACCCCCCAGGCTTTGGCATCGCGGATCTTTGGTGCTTCCCTCCCCTCAAGGGTGGGATGGTCCAGGATGTCAGCTTGGGAAATCACAGAATTACAGAATTATTTAGGTTGGAAAAGCCCTCTAAGATCACCCAATCCAACCATTAACCCCACACTGCCAAGGCCACGTCCCTAAATAACACATCCCACAACACATGAAGTACCTACAGAACAACCATCTCCGTGGTATAAAAGTGCTTTAAACACAGAAAACTCCCGGAGTTTAATCCCCAGGGACCATTTGGCAACATCTGGATGCCACGAGATGCTGTGGAATGAGTTCTTTTCCTCTGCTGGAGAGGAGGTGGAGGTTATGTGGACCTCAGATGAGGAACATCCCAAGGTCACTCAAAGGATAATTTGGGTTGGGAGGGACCTTAAAGCCCATCCAGTGCCACCCCCTGCCATGGGCAGGGAGACCTTCCACTAGCCCAGGTTGCTCCTGGATGTTCTAGAAGTGTGGCCTCAACCTAATCCAACCCAACTGCATCCCTGGAAGTGTCCAAGGCCAGGCTGGAGCCACCTGGGCTAGTGGAAGGTGTCCCTGCCAATGGCAGGGGGTGGCACTGGATGGGCTTTAAGGTCCCTCCCAAGCCAACCATTCCATGATTCCATGATGGTTTTATCCTGCCTGTTCCTCCATGCAAGACTTAGCAGTGGGGTGCCTATGGAACGAGCTGCTTGAGTAGAAATAACAGAAATAGAAATAATAGAATATAATAATAATAGAATATAATAATAATAGAATATAAAAATAGAATATTTTCAGTTGGAAGGGACCTCCAAGGATCATCTGGTCCAACTGCCCAACCACTTCAGGGCAGACCAAAAGTTGAATCCTGCTGTTAAGGGCATTGTCCAAATGCCTCTTAAACAGTGCAAAATTTGGGATGGGTTTAGATTAGATATTGGAAGAATATCCTGTGTATTTTTTTAATATATATACATATATATATATGTCTATTTTTTATATATACATATAAATATATATAAAATATGTATATACAAATATATATAAATATAATAATATGTAAATATGTAAAAATATATATTATATAATAATTAATACAATATAATATTGATATATATTGTATATTGAATATCTCGTGCCTGAAGACCAGCAAATTTTAAATCACTTTGGGGCCTGAGATCCCACCTTTACAGCGGAATTTTGCTGTAAGACAAGGAAAACTCTGCTTAGGAGTGAAATAAAAACACAGACCCTCAGCCAAGTCCTTGAATTTTGATAAAAACCCAGGATTCAGGTCAGAGGGATAAAACAGGAATTT